ATCATGGATCGGACCATGTCTAACAAGGTTCGATTTCTTCTCTCAGATACACCATTCCATTGTGGTGTTCCAGGAGGAGTAAGTTGGGATAGAATCCCATACTCTTTTAGATGGTCATCAAATTCTAGGCTTAAATATTCACCGCCTCGATCTGATCGAAGAACTTTAATATTCTTACCTAGTTGGTTTTGTACTTCATTCTTGAATTCCTTGAACTTTTCAAAGGACTCAGATTTGTGTTTCATTAAATACACATATCCGTATCTACTGAAGTCATCAGTAAAAGTGATGAAGTACTGAAAACCTCCTCTGGCTGGTATGTTCAGTGGTCCACATACATCAGTATGTATGAGTGCCAAAAGATCATTAGCCCTTTCACCTTTTCCTGTGAATGGGGACTTTGTCATCTTTCCAATTAAACAAGATCTGCATGTCTCATATGATTCATAATCAAAAGAGTCCAAGAGTCCATCTTTATGGAGTTTGGAAATGCGTTTCTCATTTATGTGGCCTAATCGACAGTGCCAAAGGTAAGTTGGATTCAACTCATTAGGTTTCAACCTTTTAGTATTAATGTTATAAATTGGCATTTCAAGATCAAGGACATATAGTCCATTATTCATTTTTGCAGTAGCATAGAATATATCATTCAAATAAATGGAGCAACAATTGTTCCTTATTATGAATGAAAAACCAAACTTGTCCAAACAAGAAACGGAAATAATATTCCTGCTAATTGCAGGTACATAATAACAGTTCTCTAACTGAATTATTAAACCACTAGGTAAAGTTAAAACATAAGTTCCTACAGCTAAAGCAGCAACCTTTGCTCCATTGCCAACTCGTAGGTCAACTTCACCTTTTGCCAAATTTCTACTCCTTTTTAGCCCCTGCACATTAGTACAAATGTGAGAACCGCATCCAGTATCTAATACCCATGATGCAGAAGTAGATAAATTAATTTCAATAACAAAAATACCTGAATTTGAAGTCTCTACTCCATTATTCTTATCTTCCAGGTACTTTGGGCAATTTCTCTTCCAATGTCCGGTCTTACCGCAATGGAAGCAAGTGCCCTCCTTTGCTATTCCTCCACTAGGCTTCAAAACAGGAGGAGTGGGTTTGGGTTTGGCAACTTCCTTGCCTTTCCCTCTACCACCCTGTTTGATGGGCCTCTTATTCTGTTTCTTTCCATTACTGACCATCAGAATGGATTTCCCTTTTGTCTTCATATTCTGCTCAGCAGTTCTCAACATGCCTAGCAGTTCTGGAAGACTTTTGTCCAAGTCATTCATATTGAAATTCAGGACAAACTGACTGAAGCTCTCTGGCAACGATTGCAAGATCAGATCAATCGCAAGTTCCTTTCCAAGGGGAAACCCTAATCTGTCAAGGTTCTCCACATACCCAATCATCTTGAGTACATGGGGACTTACAGGGGCTCCCTCAGCTAACTTGCTGTTAAAAAGGGACTTTGAAACCTGAAACCTCTCATTTCTTGCTTGCTCTTGGTAAAGCGTTTTCAGATGTCCGATCATATCGAACGCAGACATGTTCTCGTGTTGCTTTTGCAACTCAGAGTTCATGGTAGCAAGCATGAGGCAAGCGGTTTCATTGGCATCATCGAAATGCTTCTTATAAGCATCTCTTTCTGCCTTTGGTGCAGAACTAGGAGGTTCCTCCTCAGGAACTGGTGTCTCCAAGACATACAGCTTCTTATCGTGCTTGAGGACAATCCTCAGATTACGGTGCCAATCCAGGAAATTTGTCCCAGACAATTTTTCCTTATCTAGGATGGATCGCAAAATATTGTTCGATGTGTTTGTTGTCATGGTAATCTACAAGAGAAATATGAAAATATAAGTATCATTAAAATAACATATTTAATTAGGCCTTTAATCAAATATGCTCCCACTATTTTATTCAAAACAAATGACCCTCATCATTTGATTCGGAAAATCCCGTTGGAAGACTTTCTAGTGGGTCGAGATCCATGTTTCACTTTGTTTTAAGTCAGCGTTAGGCTGATTACACAAAACTAAGTTATTTAGGTAGGAACTCCTTCCAATTGTATCTCATACAACTCTCGAATATTTTCAATTGGGTGAATAACTCCTTATTCTGATCCATCACATGAATCATTCCCAATTCTTGCTTCTAAACATATATAATCTTATTATAATTTGTTTAGTTAAGTTTGACCCATTGTTTTAGCAATTGGATATTACAATTATCCCATCACACCTTACTAATATAGAACATGCACCTCGCGTAGGCGAAACCTACAATGCTCGATACTAGTCTTGATGAGTGCTAAAAATTGGAAAGCATAAACTTAATATTTAATTTTGAGGGAATTTGTTATTAGTTTGATCTCACCGGCTTAACATGCAAAACGTCTCTCACATGCATCAACATACAAGTACATGCATCAACATACATATAAAAAGATACAATTATGGCCCCTAACGCAATTGTTCTCTCAAGCCAATGAGAGAACCTAAGCTAACCTAATAACGATCTAAGCTTCTCCAAGCATGATCTCCAAGGTTATCCTCCTTTAATATTGAATACTTCCTTTTTTTTTCATAACATAATATTACATTACATATAAGAAAACTCGTTTTACATACGAGGGAGTGAGATGAGAAAAGAAGTTACATAAAGAGATTGAGAGAGAGGCACGACACGCAGGCCGTATTCAAAAATCCCAAAACAAAACTAAGGCCATAACTGATCACCACAAATAAATAATAATAAACACACTTTTATTATTAGTTTAAAATTCCGATAATTAAATAAACTAAATTAAATTTCGACTGATTGATCACACTTTGCAGACTTAGCCGGGGGTTCCGCTGCCCGGTCAGCGGACGGTGGTTCCGCTGACCGTTCAGCGGACGGGGGTCAAGGGGGCAGCGCCCCCTTGCGGGGTTGTTAGGGGCAGCGCCCCAGCGAAAATTTTTATGAACACTTCATTGTATTTCACGTCGTTTCCTGCACAACTTTTGTGCATTTACAATCCCAACCGGAAAAGTCTGCGGCAATACAACACTTGTACTGCCATTAATCCTAATGCAACAATTTCATGCCGTCAAACACAACTCGATTGATAACTCAATATGATAGATCAACATATCATTGCTTCACCATACTAACGTCGGATTCCGAAGCGAATGAAAGTGATGATCTTTCAAAAGAATTACAATCCTTATGTGATTGAATGGATGAAATCAAAACAGTATATCCCATATACCATCTTTGCATCAGAATTTCTTATATCTTATATAAAAGTGATCGATCTAATTGTGTAACCTATGGATGATCAATGTATCGCACAACTTCACCATACTAATGTCGGATTCCGAAGCATAATCAACATCAATCATCCAAATCGTACACAACAGATGCCAAATTTAATTAATCGTTTATTGTTAAATTCATTCTGTGTTTTAATCGAATCAAATACAGAAAAGACGGAAATTTAACAGCTATCAGATCCATGGTTTCGTAAGTGGCTCTGATACCACTGAAGGAAAATTGCGATCTAAACGCAGCGGAAAACAAAAATTTTCCTTTAGTGATCCTCACGAATGAGCATGGTCAGTGATAGAATCGTTACCTCTTTGTGGCGATTCAGATCTTTGATGCAGCGATCACAAGCGTTGATGAAGTGCAACGCCTCTACTCAGTCCACACGAACAGCTTCCGGTCACAGTGCTAGCTGCTTACGAACGGAATTATTTGAGTGAGAAAAGAGAATCAAAAACGAAATTGCATCAAGTGAAAGCTTCATCACAAGGGTTCCTTTTATAGACTCTCTTGTGGGCTGCGGGCTAAAACCCTAATTCACATGATCCATAATAATATTATATATTATTATAATAACTATTATTATAATAAATATATTTATTTTATTATTATTTTATAACCATTATAAAATAATAATAATTATTATTATATTATCCGAATTTCTATTTTTCACTTAAGTGCACCGTACCTTACGGTGTTCCTTTGATTTCTCTATCTCTCATCAAACTGTCCTTATGTGTGTGACCCTGTAGGATTTCGTAACGTTGGTAATTATATTAAATTATATATATTTAACATAATAAACAGTAAGCGGTATCTAGCAACACATCACTGCTACCCAAGTCACGAAAATGTCATGTGATCTGACAAAACCTTTTTCGTGATAATATATGTTTGTACAATTACCCTTTTGCCCCTATGTCTATATTGAACACAAGGCATACACTGTGTCATCCTTGTCCAGTTCAATATTGGGCCCTTAGACATTTCTCCTGTTATGCAGGATTGGCAAATTCCATCTAGGACACTCATGTCCCTCAGCATGCTTCGTGGAGTGCCCATCAACTGTCTTTATGATCATCCAGTTACGGATAATGTTTGATCAGCAATAAAGCACCCGACTCTACATCTAGGGTCCATAGTGGTTTCAGGTCGAAGGGTGGTAATACACCATTATCACCATGAGAATAACTTATGACACTTTGCATAACATACTATGTAGTATTCTCATAGCGGGTCAATCCGGTATAAATATTACTCCTAATATTTATACCTATGTCAAGACTTGATAACTCTTTATCCATGATCCATGAGATGTGATCATCAGTCTATCTTCATAATAGTCTCAATGCTTTTAATGTTATCCCACTTTGCAATAAAGCTTGACTACGGATATTTTAAGAATAATGTCTTTATGTTTAATGGGATCTCATGATTAAGTCACACTTAACATTTCATTAAACAGACTAACTATTCTAGGGACTTTATTATTCTGAAAGACAAACATAATAAAGAAATGCCTTTTATTATTAAACGAATAATCTGATACAAGTACCAAAAAATATTGGCCTCTAGGGCTTACACCAACACTTTTGGCATTCATCCAAAAAATGTTAACCACATATTTTAACACTATGATTAACTAAAAAAATAATTGAATTCTTATGATTAAAAATTCTGATAAAGTTTTAAAAATCCATAGCTGTTCTTTGTTGTTGAATAACAAAGACAGATGCTTTACCAGCAGCATCAGTGGAAGCCAACAAATCTCCCAAAACACCAAGTTCAGGATACTCACTCCATTGCAACAATCCACATGTTTGAGGTGTTTCAATCCCAGCTTGTCTCCCAACAATAATCAAATCAAATTCAGCTACCAAACACCTAATTATCAAAGCTGTTTCAGGTCCATCTTTCACTCTTTCTTCAACATATTTTACATTAACATCACCAACTTTATTCTTTGTCTTTATCTCATCCAACAATTCATTATCAAGTAAACCCTCCCAGCAACCCTTTGAATCACCTTCTAAACTCATGAATCTAACCACTGTTATCTTAACATGTGGATTCTTAGTCATTCTCTTTGTCAAAATAAGTGCTTCTCTATCATCTTTTCCACCTATAAATAACAAACACACATTATATGGTGTTTCTGGTGAGAATATATGTGTCATTTGTGCTCTTTCAATTAACACACCAACTGAACACGGTGCTCTTTCCATAACTCTGTAGTTCAAGTCCCTCAACGACTCGTCCTCTAACTCCACCGAGTCACCGTCGCAGGACCATTTTCTATGAAAAGGAAGAATAATGAGTGATGTAAATTTGTCAAGTGCTAATGTACAAATATCATCATACATCATTTCTGCTGGTGATACAGCTGTGAAAGTGTTGACAACTAAACAATCTTTGAACTCTTTTTCAAATATTTGAAATGATTCTAGAAGCTTCTCTGCCATCGATGTGTTTGAATTCGATTTCTTCTTTTTTTGAAGATTGTGACTGATGAATATAGGAGAAGCTCTTCCTATTAATTCAATCAGTTGAAGTGCGTAAGTGCATATCGGTTCTTCTTTTGTTGGATATGCTGCTTCAAGAAGATTTATTGTTGCTGGAATGTTGTCTGGTCTGTGAATACATGCTAAAACTCTAAGTTCTGAGTTACTTTTCAGATCTGCTATGTTTCTTTTTGTGTAACCTGTGTATTTCTTTGTTGGATCATATATATAACCCAACAGCATTGGAATCATAGTTGTGTTTACTATGATGCATACCATCAATAACGCAAATATGTTATTAGGTAGCTCCTGCATGCATTCAAATATAGAATTCAATTAATATTAACACGGTGAAATAACCATCAAGGTTGGCTTTGTGGTGAAGGTTTGGGTCTTGATCCCCCTGAATTCGGCTGTCGCAAGGCCAGATACGATGATTTAAAAAATAAATAAATATATATATATATATATATATATATATATACTATGATGAAATGAAGTAAAATACTTACTGTAGTATCTCTGACCACAGAGAGTGCAGCCATTTCAACAATGCCTTTGCTACTCATAATCAAAGACAAAGAAAAAGCATCACTCAATGGCATTTCACTGCGTAAAGGAGGAATCATACAAGCAACAAATTTAGAAACAAAACAAACCGCAACAATAACCAAAGCTTGCACCATAAAATAATCAACACTTCCATCCATTTTATTTCTCCAACACAACAAGTCTTTCAAATCTACCCTCATTGCACATGTAGTCACAAATGTTGGCATCAAAATCCCATTAACAAAAGTATCAATTTTTTTAATAATAGCAGTGCCTAATGGAGGTCCTTCGGGAATAGCCATTCCCAATACAAAAGGTCCAAAGAGACCAAAGAATCCAAATCTATTTGAAGCATAGGATGATAATAATGTTACTATGAGTATGCTATAAACGTAGTTATCACTCACATGATAACCTTCTGGCGTCTGTTTTATAATCCAAAACATCGACGGTCGGATAATGAATATAACCAAGAGTATAAACAAGACAGCAGCCGCAATGCAAACCAACGCCCTCATTAAACCATGGTCCTCATTTAATTTACTAAATGTCAGTATTGATGCTATGAAGACACTGAAAATTTCACTGACTAATGACGCTGATTGCCCGATTCTACCCAATTCAGAATTGAGGATCTTGAGATCACTTAAAGTTGAGGAGATTACAGGGAAAGGGGTCATAGAGAACAATCCAATGACAACTCCAAGTATTTTTGTTTGGTAAGATTGAAGGTGTTTTGATGAGAAAAAACTAAGAGTAGCCATGCCACATAGAAACGGAGCCATTATAGCTAAAGAACCAATGTTGGTGGCACCACTCCTAGTTTTGTGGACTACACTCATATCTGTTTTTACTCCAATGTAGAATAGGAACAGCATGTAACCAAATATTGAAACTAGTCCTAGATTTTCCTGTGAATCAAAGAAGAACATGGTCTTCATCGTTTTAGTCCAATTTTCATTGAATGTAGCTGCCAAGATAAGACCAACCTAACATAAAACAACAACTACCATGTGTTAATTAATGTTTTGTGTATCAAACATCTACACAAACATGAACATGACAAAAAAAAAAGGACTTACAATGCTCATAGAAGTGAACCTGTGAATTCCGAAACGAGACAAGATAGATTTAAACCAAAAAGTTGCAAAAAAGATCAAGCACATTTGCATCTGCAACACTGGCAAAGAATTTACTAAAATCGTGTCTGAATTTGTAATTTTCCACCATGGTATCTGGGAATTCACCCGTGGTGGCAGGTATATGCATGTTTTATAGTAAACATTCGTCTCATTTTGTTTCAAAGACATGCTGATTACTAATGATGTCTTCTGATTTATTTTTCTTCTCTTAATCATTAAGATTTTGATACAAGATTCTGTTTTGTTTCTCGTTAGAAATGTTGAATCTCCAGTAAATACTAGTCATATACAACTAATAGAGTTCTGATTTCTTTCTAATAATATACTAGTATCAAATTGGATTTTGCTGTGTAATATCGTTATTGGATTAACAAAATGTTAAATTTAGACAAATTACTAGAACTAAACGCGTTATTTTTGGTAAAAGTTAAATAAAAGGACACAACGTTTAAAAGGTGTTATTTTTGGTAAAAGTTAAATAAAAGGACAGAACGTAATTCTTTTAAATATAGTTTATATTATATGGATTATATACGTAATTGCAATTCTTCAAAAAAATTATGTAGATTATTTAAGGAAAATGCTAACCAGTGCCCTCAGGACACTTTTTAAAACTTTAAATAGTAAGTTTTTATAAAAGTATGTGCAATGATGTGTAATAATGTGCATTGGAAATTAAAGTGTTTAAATTTTTTAATGAATAATTTCTTAATATGGAATGTTTAAATAGTGCCCTAAGGGCACTGGTTAGCAAGACACATTATTTAATTATGTTTCCATTTATATCATAATTTCAAAATTTTAATATGCTCGTGTTCAACCACAGTTAATGTGACAAACTTAAATAATTTCATTAAAGTTATAATACAAGCCAGACACAATTACTAATAGAAAGTTGAAATAGAAGAATGTGCATTGTATTCACCAAACAGAGAAAAATCAGCCCCCAATGAAGTCAGGAAAACTCTACAAAAAAAGTCGACTACTTTTATGTAAACAAAATTAAGCATTCAAATTATAACCCCAAAACAGAATGTAGAAATAGCATTAATTTATAAAAGAATTAATATTCCCATTTCTTCAACTCCATGCCATCTGGAGGACTTCCTTCAACCTTCTTTGTTCCCACTTCCTTCCAGTTTGTCGACAGCACTGTTCCATTCGACTCCACCTACAAACAAAATTCAAACAGATGATAAAATGTCAATAAAACTTATCATATAGCCAGGATCAATCAAATATAGAAAATTAAAATTAAACTTACAAATGACTTTTTCATTGCTCTTCTTGTATCCTCATCAGCATCATGATATATTTCTCGGAAAAATTTGTTCAGTGCAGCATCGCCATCAAGGTTTTCATCTTTCTCCTGAAATGACAAATGCTTAGGAGAAAGAAATGCACTAAAATATAAAGAGATGAATCTCTTTTAAAGACACAAGACATACCTCTTTCTTAACTTGAGCTTCAAGCTTATCCCAATCTACCCTTTTTGGTTTTGAGGACGGGTAAGTAGGTCTTTGAGTTCCAGTAACTACAAAATTTCATGGTAAGGGATAAAATTAGGAAAATAAACACATCATAAGGTTTAATGAATTTTAATCAATATAGAAATGCTAATAATTTGGTCCAATCATTTGAGTGATAAAAAATGTAGATAAATCTGAAGTTACCTGAAGAGGCAATAGCCCTTGGTGCAACTGTGGTTTCTCTGGTGAATTCTAGGGACATCCAGTGAATAGATTCTGCTTTAGCAAGGCGAATTTCAATTTTGGTGCACATAATAACTTCATACCGGCATCCCGAAGGTATGATCTGATTGAAGATAACCACGTATTAACAATTTATATAGAATTACAAAATAATGATAAGACATAAAACAAATAAAGAAATTTAATATCAATCTTTCAATAAAAGGGCTTGTGACAAATAGAAACAATGGAAAGCTCCCGTTCATACCTTTCCAAATAAGCGAGATTGAAAAACGTATGCATCTTCTCCAAGAACATCAATGTTGACCCTTAGCTACAAAAGAAAATAAAAAGGAATAAGCTTAGAATGTTATATCCAACTTGTTCAACCAAGATGTATACAAGTGTAATAAAAACCAAGCATAAAAACAAAGTAAATATTATTATAATGTAAACCATACTATTTGTTCACCAAAGTCGACAGTAATGCTTTCTTTGGAGACCCCCTTTGCAAATATTGTTACAACCACTTCTTGAGGTGTCTGGTAAAATCCGTGCCTGCATAATTCTTTTCTCAGATTAGTATCTACTGTTGGTCAGTAAAAATTTTTGCCACAAAAGCCAACATCATTGAACTGTTGGTCAGAGTTCACTTTTGACACTTAAAATAATACTCCCTCCGTCCAAAAATAAATGTCTGTGAAAGTGTCTGACAATCATATTAACTTAAGTACATCAGCATTAGCAGATTCCACACAGACAAAAACACTAGCGTAGAACATAACATTCAAAGAAAGCTGTACTAGCACTACTAACCTATATTTAGGCTTAGTTACCGCCACTATTGGCTCCTCTAAAAGATCTTTTTCTGGTTCAATGACTTTTGGAGTTGCATCCTGTGTGGTGGTAGACTTTTCTTGTGTAGGTAGGGTATAAGATTCTTCTGTTTAAGACAATGTAATCCAAAATCATGTTAGTTTTCAAGCAAAGAAAATGAATTATCCAGAGTTTCCTTTCAACAGTCAAGATACAGTCATCAGTTAGGCATATAAACTCAAACAAAAATCTATAACAGGACAAGCAAGTAAAGAATTAAATAGCAAAGTAATCAATTTTCACCAAATAAAGAGAGTTTCCAAGTGGAAGAATAGAAATAAAGTTGACCTGCAATGAGCCTATCACATTCTTCAATCAAATTAACAAATCTTGATGTGTCTGCAACCAATGAGGCCCCGGTCTCTAAAGCAGTCTTAGCAGTCTGATATTCCTCAAGTTTAATACAGGCATTACTGCAGCCAAAACCAATCGTACACAAGTAAATAAACAAACAAATCATTGTCTTGACACAGCGATTACGGAATAGATAAGAAAGAGAAGGTATTATAGTATTTACCCTTTGCGCAAATATGCCTTTGATAGAGAAGGATTCAAGTGAATAGCTTTGTTGGCATCAGCAACAGCCTCTGAAGAAATTAGTAAAAGATTAACCGAAATAAGACAGAATCTATTTATGAAATTACAAGAAGAAATTGAAAAGTGAAAGTAGAAATTGAAGGGAATGAGAGAGAGAAACCGGTGAAGTTGTTGAGTTTGATGTTGGCTTGAGCACGATCAGCGTATAGTTCAGGTTTGGTAGGATGAAGCTGAATGGCTTGCGTGAGAAGTTCAAGGGCCAATTCAAAGTGGTCTTCAACAAAAGCCTCTTTGGCTTTCTCTTCAAGATCGAAACCCATCACCGAGAAGAGTAGAAAAAAGGGTTTGTGAATTTGGGAAGAGAAATCGGAGGAATGAGTTTGATTGAGCGACAGAAAGAGGATATTTATAAACAACGGCAGGAAGGCAATAATAGGGAATGGAGTAGAGTAGACTTTTACAAGTCTTCTATAATATATATATATATATATATATATATATATATATATATATATATATATATATATATATATATATATATATATATATATATATATATATATATATATATATATATATATATATATATATATATATATATATATATATATATATATGTGTGTGTAACTAAAGTAGAGGAAATTTCGCCTATACGTCTATAAGGATTTTTTTTAAATTACGAGAAAATCTCGTTAAAAATCTTTAACAAATTCATTTTTTTTTATTTCGTATTATCTTTTCAGTTATTTTCAAGAGAAACCGGTGGACTATACTTTTTTTTAAAAAAAAATTAAATGAGAAAAAAAATTATACACTAAGAATATAAAATACTTGACATAATATTTGAATGATAAAATTATATTAAATAATGTTTGAAATTATTTTACACTCACATTATACTACTTTTAATCTCTTTTTACATCAATTATTTTATTAATAATTTAATTATTTTTAAATAATTAAGTTATTTAAATATAAATTTTATCGATATACTACGAATATTTAATCTGTCAATATAAGTGTTTGATTTTTTTTTATTAATTATATTTAAATGTGTAAATCTTTTTTATGGTAACAATAAATAACAATTAATTCTATTTAAATACTTAGATAGAATAAAAATTTGTAAAATAAATACAAATATGATCACAAATAATGAATAAATAAGCAAATATAGACGCGGTTACTTTAGTATCCACAATTTACCTCATACCTACACAATTTATATGTATTTTAATATAAATATTTGTTTATTTTTTCCTCAATAATATCATCTTTGAAATTTTTTATAATTTATTGTGTCAATTTAAATTGTTAAATTATAAATTATATATTATCTTTTATTTGAAATACAGATAAACAAATATAAATATAAGTATTTAGACATGTATAAAATACAAATATAAATAATGACGTCCACACGGGTATGTTCTATATTTATGATCGTGGATATGGAGATTGATAGTAGAGTAAGTTGCACTCTTTGTCATTCTTAATTTAGTTTTTGAAACCCAATTCACTTAAATTTTTGTAATTAAAAAATTCAAACAAAATAAATGTTAAAAATAATAAAATATAATTTATAACTCTATCTTTTCTTTCAATAAACACAAATGCTAATTATAACAATAAATATTAATTTAACGCTATTTCAATTTTGAATTTAGATTATATTTTGGTTCTTTTGTTTTTTCTAATGTATAGCTTTTGTGTGTACTCAAATATCTTTATAAATGTTTGTTTGATATAATATAGTTACATGTATGTCTAAAGATATAGCTTTTTGTGTTATTCAATCTTTTGTAATAAAATATCTCTATAAATATTTATTTGACATAATATAATTACATATACGTCTAAAAATATTTCAAATATTTTATTTAGACATGTGTTCAATTGTATCAAATAAATATTTAATGAGATATTTTAACATATAATTTTAAAAAGACTTAAGTAATCTTAAATAGATATATATAATAAAAAATTACATTATTATTATTAGTGTATACAAATTAATTTATTTTATATTATATATATTTTATATTACATCTAGATATTTTAACA